CAAAGATGTTAGGTCAACCCAGCGATGCGTTGGTGTTGGTTCCAAATACGTGTAGGTGGTGTGATACTGACATTAAGTACGATGGCGACATCAAGCTAGCAGGTTGGGCGGGCACTACGAGCATGTACAAAAGTAACAGGCTAAATACCTATTCAGTGAGTGGTTTACTGAAGATCGCTGTAACTGACGTTGACTAGAAGCCGCTATGGGCTTGGATATGAACGCGTGGTTGTCAGCCGACACCGTGCTCTCGGATTACGAGGCCTCGTTCGTACAGCAGAGCATTTGACTTCGGTCATAGGCTGTTCGATACACTGATGAGGCAGCATGATGCAGTCAGTAGCGAGTTTGAATTCATAAGCTGGTCAACCTGCCATACCACCTCCAGTTCCAGTCTCGCCCCAGGCAGTAACGCCCTTATCTTTTCTGTCCCTCTAGTTCTCGGTTGGCATATCGCGCCCGTCGCACCCAACTACTGAATAACAGGTGACAGTTATTCAAGGGAAGAGAACAGTGCCGAAAATCCTGATGACCATCAGAATATGGGTGTTGTCTCATTTTACCTGTTTGATACAGTACGTGCCTGTAGCAGCCATTGTTCTGGGGACGTTGAATGAACCGTTCTCACACGGAACTGTCAGATTACGGCTACTTCCGATTTACGAGCATCGGCCTTGGAATCCATGGATTTCACGACCTAACCTCTTTGTTCGGGCGAGACACTCATATGTAGGAGCTAATGGGATTTCCGTCACCAAATGAATAATTTGTGTTAAACACCGGACAGTATTCCAGTATCGCAAAAGTGTGGTTGTATGTGAGAGTTTTCCGTTCGGTACGTTGTCTCCATGGTCAACCGTTTACCAGTTAAGGTCACTTTTTGTCTAAAAACAACGTGCACGGTTTCCGAAAATCTGGAAACAGATCAACTAACTAAGGAGTTACTCAACAGCGACATGTGGCATACTGAATTCCGTTGTGATGGCTCGAGACGTGAGGTTTGGGCGTACTGATCGAATTCTGTAGATCAATCAAGGCAGCTGCCAATCAGAAACATGATAGTTTTCGTCTGTCCTATCTGACACACGTTTATATATATTGCAATTATATCCTACCTAGAGTAATATTTCCGCAGGGAAAACAGCGTGTCACCATTGGCTGCTGGTCCCATGGCAGTTGTCGACATTTCTGACATCCTAGTGACACTTCCATGGTCTGACAAAATCAGCACGAAAATCATTCAGCGTAGGTGTGAAGTTGTCCGAGGCAAAACCTAAAGAGTATCGGAACTTCCGTCGATGAATTCACAATTGCGCTGGTACAATATTCGTGATACTGATATCGTATTATATATATATATATATATA